CCATAGCGCAAAGTCTCGTGACCCTGGAGACCTAACAGAGAGAATCCGCGTGTTCTCGCTTCTCGGGAACTCGTGTATCGTCGCGTGTATTGTAACGTGTTCGTCTCGCTTCTCGAGAGTTCACGTATCGTTTTGCATTTTGTATTTCGTATCTGGTATGTTGTATACTATATTTTGTATTTCGTCAATGGAATCTTGTTAAGATTATTATTTCACTTGTTTCGGAATTTCATAATTGTTAACTATTGCATTCTAAGTTTGTCCTGAATAAAAGGACAGTTGTTATTGTTTTCTATATCGGGTTCTCACTCTTCTTTCCTGGCTACCTTACCAACACCTTGGCGTTCCCTGCCCCTCTGCCATTCCCTCATCTGAGTTAGTTCGGTTGCCTTACTCTATTCTTTTCGGGGATTTTCGTAGTCTCGTTACGTGACGCAACGGTGCGTCTGGCGCCCAGTCGGTGACTTTCGGTATCGCGTCCCGGGGGGAATAGAGCATTATATTTGTGGCGTAAAACGCGTCGGGATAGCTGCGTCTCGGCGAGTAGACATTGGGGTTAGTTTCCGCTTTAGTCTCAGTTTTATAGCACTGGCGAATAAGTTGAAGTATAAAAATTGCGTCACAGTACATAGCAATTCTGTGTCAATACACATGGAAATCCAAATGAGAGAAGAACCGGACCGATTCAACTCTTTAGCTTTGAGTTCGGTTGGAGGAAAATTAAATATATTTTTGCCTCAAATACTCATCGATTGAGGTAAGTTGAATTTCTTCAAAACAAAATGGTTACGCCAAGTATTAAAAGTGAAGCTATCGTTGAAAAAGATCCTTTGTAAATAAACCGCTCCATGTTAAACAATCCCTTGCAAACAAAAAATTACATGATAAAAACAATTCCTTGCTGGTATGCCAAGTTTTTTATAGCCAAACGTCTACCGATGAGTTTTACTTGGCTAATATATGGCGTTTGTTTTAATATTTTTGCAAGGAATTGTTTTTATCATTTGATTTTCTGTTTGTAAGAGATTTTCGATCAGGTAATGTTTCATTTGAAAGAGATTTTTCAGCATGGAATTTTCTATTTACAAAGGATTTTTTCAATATTGGCTAAACTTTTAATACTTGGTCTAACATTTTTGATCTGATAAAATCTCCTCTTCTATACTGTACAGTATACTACCACCCAAATCCAAAATCTGCACTTTTATTTTTTTTCCAGCCCTTACAAAAAAGAAGTCGTTTATTGCGTGGCCAACAGGCCTCGAATAGGATTTGGTTCTTACAATTCGCTAGCTTCTCTCAATGTTCCACTCCATCACGCTTTCGCTTCCTTTCCATTTTTTTCACCTAATCTATCTTAATATCTACATTATTTCTTAAGTGTTAGAATTATTTAAATGCTACGCCTTCTTTCCCTTAGCTTCATATCCCTTGAATCCCTAGCTTTTCCCTCCTGCCTATCCTGGCGTTGAAGTCTTCCCCCAGCCCCAGCACTCCCTCTTCCATCACGTCTATTTTTTCGTCTGCTCTTCTACGCATATCCTTCTTTCTTGCATTCTCTCCTCATCTCTTTCCTTGTCACTCAACCATACTTCATTTAACGTCATCCCGATACCATTAACGATTCCTCCCTTCGCCCTTCTCTTCTTGCACGTTTCTGTCGCGGGCTGACATTTCCATTCAAATTCTTTTGGCATTCTCTTTTCCACTCTTTCCCAGCCCCTCTCTTCGAGCCACGTTTCCACTAGTCCCACACAATCCCATTCTCTGATATATTCCCAGAAGTCCTTATCCCTATTTTTACATTCCAAAATACTATGCCAATTTCCTCTCCCTCCTCGTCCCCTTCTCCACTCGTTCTCTCCGTCTGCCTTGTCTCTTTTTTCTTTCTCTTTCCCGTGGCCCCCTTCGTTCCTTTCTCTACTTCCGATTAGCCGCCCTTCGAAAAACCTTTTCCTCTTCTTCGAGTTGTTGTGAATCCTCATTTCAAAAGTATCACTTCCCCTGCAATTGCAATTTTCTGTATCCCACCCTCGCGTGTTTACCCTCTTCCCTTTTTTGCTTCGTTCTTCATCTGATCTTCTTTTGCACTTCCCTCTCCTCCATCGTCATAGTCTATATGTAGCCTCCTGTTTCCTAGTTTCTTTTTCTCTCTCATCGCTCTTTGCTTTCCCTCCCAATCTTCCATTTCTACTATTACTTTCGTTTTATCTCCCCTCCCCACTGCCTCGATTCTTTTTATCTTATTCGCTACCTTAAATTCTACTTCTGAAAATTGTTCCGCTGCCTCACTCACCCCCTGCCTTCCACATTCAAGCCGCTTATTACTATATTGTCTTTCCTTTTTCCTGATCCTCTATTTTCCTCTTGATCTGTCTAACTTCTTTCCATGGATCATCAACTTCCCCTGCGTTGTTATTGTCCTCTCTCATTTTTCCTTCTCTCCCATTCTCCGTTCGCTTTATTATCTCGCTAATTATTTCCTCCTTCTCTTTTTCCCCTTCTTCTAAGGGGGAGCAAATCGTAAGGATCATTCTGTCCTTTTCTATCATTTTTCTATTGGTCGAAAGTTTTCTGGATGGATGGGGTTCAGGACTGTAATATGCAAAATAAGAACCACGTGAAAGATTATTCCGCACATCTAGAATATAAGTTGTTACAGTCGAATATTGGGGACAGAAGCCTTTGTGAGTCAAATCCATCGGTCAAGTTTCAATTGTCGTGATTGCTTTATGGTAGTTGAGTTTACAAAAATTCAATATTAAAACATGGTGATTCATTGTTATGCGTGGGCTATCGCGAGACGTATACTTTAAGCCCAATACGATAAGCTTTCACAAGTAGGTACAGTACAAATATAACCTTAAATTTTATGGTTAACATAAGATTAAATCAATTCTTAAACTTATAAAATATTATAAATAAAGTTAATCATGAGACATACATTTTACTGCAGGGGATCCCCTTATTCCTGATTTCGCTCCTGCCCAAGAGAAGAATAGAACGGTCCTTACGATTTGCTCTCTCTTTCTATTCCCGGTTACACTCTCTGCGGCTACAGTGAGCAATCGAGTAATCAAGAGACTCGGTCGAGTCTCGCGCCAAGTACAGGCAACCGGCTGTACAGGGCGCAGCGCGCCGAGACTCTTTACTCGAGTCAACTCCTTATACCTGTGTTTGGAACGAAATATCTTATGAACCGCTATATATGAGGAAAAGTTATTGATACATTCACTATAGGAATTGAAGGTTTTGAAGCGATTGCCACCAAGTTCAATACGATTAGTGTACGAGATCAGGGCGTATTGAAATGGCGAGCGAGATGATTTTATTTCAGTTCCGTCGTCGTCGTCATCGTCGTCGTCGTCGTCGTCGTCGTCGTCGTCGTCGTCGTCGTCGTCGTCGTCGTCGTCGTCGTCGTCGTCGTCGTCGTCGTCGTCGTCGTCGTCGTCGTCGTCGTCGTCGTCGTCGTCGTCGTCGTCGTCGTCGTCGTCGTCGTCGTCGTCGTCGTCGTCGTCGTCGTCGTCGTCGTCGTCGTCGTCGTCGTCGTCGTCGTCGTCGTCGTCGTCGTCGTCGTCGTCGTCGTCGTCGTCGTCGTCGTCGTCGTCGTCGTCGTCGTCGTCGTCGTCGTCGTCGTCGTCGTCGTCGTCGTCGTCGTCGTCGTCGTCGTCGTCGTCGTCGTCGTCGTCGTCGTCGTCGTCGTCGTCGTCGTCGTCGTCGTCGTCGTCGTCGTCGTCGTCGTCGTCGTCGTCGTCGTCGTCGTCGTCGTCGTCGTCGTCGTCGTCGTCGTCGTCGTCGTCGTCGTCGTCGTCGTCGTCGTCGTCGTCGTCGTCGTCGTCGTCGTCGTCGTCGTCGTCGTCGTCGTCGTCGTCGTCGTCGTCGTCGTCGTCGTCGTCGTCGTCGTCGTCGTCGTCGTCGTCGTCGTCGTCGTCGTCGTCGTCGTCGTCGTCGTCGTCGTCGTCGTCGTCGTCGTCGTCGTCGTCGTCGTCGTCTTCGCACGTCCATCGCATTTTTTACACGACAGATGGCGCTGACTGCTTTGCCTTCTTTAC